ACACCACACACAGAAATCCACAGAAGGTTGACAATAATTTCACCTGTTATCATGTGGGCTTTGGGTTGGTTTACTAGGAGTGTGTAAGCTCAAAGTTATGTTTTGCCTTACATACAGAGACAACAAGAGCAGGACAGAACACAACAAAGATGGATTGGGAGCGAGGGAAGGGAAAATGATCAGTTAAATAGAAAATTGTAACCCCATGGTCCCCTCTGAGCACCTGCACCCCCTCATTCAGAAGAGCCTCCACCTGAGCCCCCGTTACTGAATGAATTGGATCTGAATTAGTCTCCCATTAGAATGCTTGTCTGCTACCACAATTCAATTACCTGCTTAGCAGAATGATGGAGTGGCTAAGGCTAAAAAGGTCTTGAGCTTTCCTGTTTAAAAATTTCCATTTTATAGCATCTGAAAAAAAACTTGTATGACCATTAGTTTTTGCATTACGCTTTTCAAAAAGCATTTGTAGCAGAAGAAAAAAAGAACCATGAGAATACAAATAACCAAATTTAATATTTAGGTTTGATAATAAAATAATGCTGTGAATATTAGCTATATTTAACATTTCAGAAATGCTGACAAGTTTATTTTCCCTGTGTTAATTTAAGGAACGTAATCAATATCAATATTAATATTAAACAGAGACTACTATAAAGATTAGAAATCTTGTACAATTTTACATTATAAATGTTTCTTCAAATTCCATAGTTTCTACAAGAAGCACATTTCTGTGTGCTCTGTCCAAGGCACAACATTTATATCATAAGAATATAACAGGTATGAGAGGAAAATTAGTATGAGAGGAGGTCTAAGCCCATTTGGTACTTAGTAGCTAACAGAACTAAGGATCTTATCAAGTTGTTTCTTGAATAAACCAGGATTTCAGCTTTGAAAACAAGACTAAGTAGCTTCTGCTTGTACTATACTCCCAGAATCCTTCATGAAAGCTGGCAACATATCAATGCAACCACTTATTCAGACAGCTGGAGAAAACTGTAGGTAAATAGCCTTGAGAAAATAATGAACTTGCAGCTAATGCCTGTCAACCATAACAAAACCAAATAATCAGTTCACATCCCTACATATTTCTAACACTCGAGAGTAATAAAATGCAAACTCTGCACACATGTAGACACAAGTGGGTGGAGAGAAGGCTATTCTTAGGTTATTGGGGTAGATTTTTATCAAGGTAGGTATTTAGCATCTTATCCCACCATTTTTTAAACAAAAATGGTTTCCTGATTTTAATCTAGTCAAACTGTGTAACAGCCAATGACTGAATTAAATATTTCCCACACTGCCCTGTAATTTGTGCTGGCGAATCCCCCAGGAGCAACAGACCATCAATTATGGAGAAGAACCAGTGCCCTCATCCTGGCAACCGTCCTCGGTCTTAACATGAGCATCCTGTAGCACTGAGCCCAATACTCTATCAAACAGAGCGTATTAACCGTATGTTTCTGTTCCGAATTATTACCCGGAAATACTTTGAACTCTATGCCTAAGTTATGTCTTATTTCTTTGTTTCCCAGGAAAAAAATACTTTGATGAAGGTCTTGGCCACTGAGCTATGAAGGAAAATCAAAATCTCACCTCATGAAAATCCTCAAATTCTGTGCTCGGCAGTCCAAAGTCTCTCAATCGTACATCTGCTATGGCCTCCTTTCCTTAACAGAGATTGGGCATTGCACTGAAGCACCACAGGACTAACTCCCCACTCCCAGCAGAAGAAATCAATAGATTGGTTTAAACCTTTACATCTTATCAAGCTCTCATGGTCTCAGACTCCCTTAGCTGGAGTGGCCTTGGACTGTTTCCTTTTGTCTTTCTCACTGAAGAGGCAAACAGGAGAAGTGGAAGAGAAAGGGGAAATGATTTGAATGTTTTGGAATTCCTCTAAAACAGCGACAATGTTTCATTGTGAGCTCCATGAGGCCCCAAGTTAATCAGGCAAAGACAACGCTGTTTGTGTTCAGTGGCATAGCAGTGGTGCTGCCATGCTTTCGGGACTCATAATAAAATTTGCAAAGCGAGGAGACTGTTGATTGTCTTGTACTATTATACAGATGGCACTTAGTTCTTAAAACTTAAAATAAGGTTCATAAGAGGAGAGTTTCAGCATGATTCATATAACAAAAACCTCATCTTAATTACTTTTTAGTGCAGAAGAGAGACCTTTGTGTAGCATACAGTACCAAACCAATTACCAGTTTCTTATCCATGAGGACACAGATCTGTAACCGATTTTTAAAGCTGTATGCTGACAACAACCATCTGGTTCAGATTGCTTGTAATGATTGCTTATACTGTACGCGATATTCTGGAAGTTAACTATTTCCAAAGTAGTTACGGAGTATTGACATCAATAAAGCTAGAGTGTAAAAAATGGAATCTTGCATCAGTACTGGACAGCTTATGCTGTTACTGGAGATTAGTATGAAGAACATGAGCAAAGCCGACATGATCAAACAAAACATATCATGCCAATATCAGTTTAACTATTTGAGACCTTTCCTTCTTATCTGTAATGCAAATTCTTACAAAGAATACAAAGAATCACACTTGCTCTTAGCATCAGAGGAATGTGTCTGAGAATAACCACTCACTCTAATTCAATGAGAATAAAACCAAGAGATAAAACATAATCTGTTTTTAACATAAGGATAACGAGAATGAAAGAGCTATAATCATTGACTTTCCCTTATAAACACAAAGCAATCATGTATATTCAATGCTAAAAACATACAAACTTTTTCCCAAGAAAGAAGTGAAATTCAAATTTCTGGCACATCCATGTTGTGCTTAACATCAACATGGATGTGCAACATAATATTTTATGCAAATTAAACTCACAATAGTAGCAAGGTAGAGTTGTTAGAACTTAATATCCAATGCAGGATATTGTGAAGGTGAGCTAAAGAAAAAATCATTTCTTTCTCTTGACAGAAACTCCAGTTCTGGGCATCCCAGAAGAGTTTTTTCCACCCTCTTACAGAAACCACAGTCCCCTGGGCACAGCTGTGTGCAAGATGAGCCGATCATAGAGGAAGCAGGGGAACCTAACAGTGAGATGACTTGAGCTGCCACCATAGTAACCATCCTCCTCAGTCCTTGTTCAAGCCGTGTGCACCATTCCTGGCACACAACACAGTACATCAACACACCACGGTTCAGCAGGACACACTGACTCACCACAGATGCCCACTATCAAGCCATGTGTGTGCTCTCACCCTGAAATAAATGCATACACATTTCTAAAGCCTGTCCCCCTGGTTCCATCCTTGAAATCCAACAAAACACAAAAATACGGCTAGCTATTTAATTACCTGGAACATAAATACTACAGGACTAACAAACTAATTCCCAACAAAGTTAAATGTTCCATTTATCTGAAGAAGGAACAATCAAATAGATTGGATAATTAAACTGACATTCTATAAGGATTTAGTCAATAAAAACTGACCAAATAACTAAGGCTCTGCTCAGTTTGCAAGCAGAGGCTGGGTGAGCCTACCTCTAGGTTAAGAGGACCTTTGGCCTGATGTATCTGGGTCAATCCTAAAGCTAAGACATTAGTAATCATAGCCTGCACCAAAAGCAAAACATTCCCATTCATTGGTTTCAGCTGCTGTTTTATGAATTTATGTAATCCACTTTAAAAAACTAAACACACAACTTGAATTTTATCCTTCAGCTTGTTAACATGACAAGTCAAAACCCTGCTTAGTGCACATCTCCCTCCTCACAGTACACAGCTAAGGGAGCATCAGACAGATGCTGTTCACAAGTGGCCATAGCAAGAAGAAATAACACTGAAACAACACCACCACTAAGGTCTCAGAAAACCCTCAGTAAGCATGCTGAACTGAATTAAAAACATGAACTATTTTAAACATTAATCAAAACATTGAGAATGTAGAATTCTATCCCTTTACCTCTGCCCTTTTCTGATTCCACAACAGTACGTATAGCCACATACTGTACTTGTCAGGCATAATAAAAAAGAACATGTCTTTCTAAGGGCTGCTATCACAAGGCACGCTTCTATTGGTACTTCTAGTTTTTTGCCTGTTTTACAGTTATAAATTAGACTGTCATGTTTCAAAGAATATGTGAATTTCTAATACTACAATCATTTTTTCCAAATAAAATGAACAACAGAAAACACACCAATGTCTCGCCGCCCTGTAACAACAAATGGCAAAATACTTTAACAAATATTTTTAAGATACTGACATCTCAGATAGGATAGACAATAAACCTGCTTCCTGTCCTGACTGTGACACAACAGCAAAGCTTAGTACTTGACATCTTTTCAGTAAAGTGAAAAGGTAGGTAACAGATTGTAGATTTGCTCTGTATGATCCTGGTAGAAGACTGGCATATAAACCTGAAAAAACACTTTAAAAACCCAGAGCAAAAGCCTTAAATTACCTTCAGTTACAGTGAAATTTAAGAATAAAAAAATCACTTCAGAGCAACAGCTCAAGATCCCTATAGGCAAGCTATTTGTTCATCTAATTTCAAAGAATGCTTTTTCTGATTACCAGTAACCCAGGCAAAACAGCACACACATTCGTTTTTCCTGTGCTCAAGTAGAGCAAGTCAGATGACAAATAATGAAACTGCAACACTAGCCTACAAAACTAGAGCTGAAACAAAAGGATGTGTAGGAAAACAATGATGACGCCTTAAAAATGAATACAATTAACCCACCAAGCCCAAAACATGGTGACCCTAAGCTGAGGCAGAACCAGGCTACGTCACAGAGCGCCGCTCAATTCCCCAGTCTCGGTTCCCTTAATTGGAAATGAAAAAAAGCTAATTCATAAAGTAGGTATAAACTCTAAAGTTAGCTCTCAGGTGTTCAGCCAGCCAGACCCCTTGGTTTCCTCCTGAAGAACAGGCACAAACTAGTCAAAGCAGAGCCTGGCAGTAAACATTATGCCTTCCTGTCGTGAGAGAGGAAACTTTTTCCTCTTTACTCTGTACAGTACCTGGCACTGGTTTCGAGGTCCAGAGGGACTCCTGCTCCTGGCCACCGTGCTGCAGGAGTTTTCTGCGGATGCGGCCTTGCGCTTTGGGCTGGATGTTCCCCATTTTGTGTGTGTAGAGGGGCAGCAGCTCCTCCTCATCCTCATAGTAGGCCCGGTGCCAGCAGCTCACCACTGGCTCCGAGGAGAGGCAGTGCACATATGCAATCATGGTGCTCCAGTTCGGGCTGTCACGGCGGGGGCAGGGCGGAATTGCTCCCCCCACCTCTTTCTCTCCTGTACTTGTCTTCCCCCAATGCACAGCTCAAAGCAAAGGGAGGGGCCTGCCCATCACCCCTCTCAGGGAGACCCCCAGAGATTTGGTTGACTCTAGCCAAGTCTGACCTGCTTCAATTCAAAATCATTGATTTGCTGCCAAGAGAACAGCCCAGTTGTCCAGTCAGGCACTTCCAAAGCTCCACCCACCCCCCCACTCCCCCGAAAAAGTGCTGAAACGAAACGGGTAGTCAAAAAAAACAACAAAAAGTGAACGCTGAAGGCAGACTGTACTCTTGGACCGAGATTTGATTCTTCAAAGTCCTTGTGTTAAAAGTATCCACATGGAAAAATGGACATACCCAAAAGGGGAGGGGGGAGGAAAACGTGTAGAGGGAAACAGGTACTTCCTTCTGTGGAACCTCAGAAAACGGAATAAATCAGTCCCCTCCACAAAGCCTCCTCTCCCCTGACTGCGATGAGCAGGTCTGCAGAGCTTTGTTTCTGCAGAGCCCCGCTCGCAGTCTCCTGCTCCTTCTCTCCTAATCCCTTAACCCAGATTATCCAGCCAAGTCCCCGTGATGAGCCAGGCTGGCCTCACCACTGCAGATGGCCACCAGTCGGCAGGTAATTAACACACACAGATGCCAACAATGCTGCAGTGTGCTCCGTTTATCATAAACGCCAAAACAGCAGCAGCCTGGGAGATGTCTACAGAAAACAATACAGTCTCTGCCTTTTGAATGACACGTTCTGTACTGTAGTCTTCTAAATATCTTTAGCCATCTAATTGTAAAAATGAGTCACGACCTAAACACTGCTTTACTCTTTATTGCCCTCTTGACCACACTTTTAATTAGAAAGTACCTGTATTTCATCCAGTCATTTAATTCAGTTCTTGTCAAAAAGCAAAAATTATTAGCTGAAGTGCAGATAAACTCCTTACAAAAGTAAAGCTGTAGTCTACCTGCTTCATGGTAGCAGTATCGGTCTCTTTGCACATGAACAATATAACAGATCAGAACTCAAAAAACTAAATACAAATAGCTGAGGAACATAAGAAAGGTTGCAAAACAAGAGTATGGCATTTGATCTTTCCTGCTTTTTGCCATTACTTTTCAGAGGCTTAGCAACTCACGCCTTAGTGACAACCTTTCTCAAATAGTAGAGTCCGCCCTCCAACTGCAGTTCCCTGACCTGTCGGTATTACTTGTCAGAGTAAGAGTGGTCAATCAGTGATTCCAAGAGAAATCATTACAAGTTGTTAGCTACAAGACAGCGGCTCTATCATAGCACTAGTGTCAGAAGGCATTGGGGAAAAAAAAAGTGAAATACTCATTCTGTAAAGCCAATAATGAGGTGACATTATTTCATTTACATTCAGTACTCATCCTTCAATTACATTAATGAGAGAACATTAGAGCAGTTAAGATCATTGAGAAATTAAGCTGGAAGGAATAGAGTTTAATTTCTCTGCTCTAGTGATTAAGAATAGGGAAAACCATGCAAGGGCGCCATCTCCAGGCATACAGAATGCTAATGCTGCACAGCTGCACAGGAACAGATGGAACAAAACAGGTACCATTCCATAATGAAAAGCTTTTAATAAGCCTCTGCAGGATTAAGGAGGTTTTCATGTCAAATCCACAGTAGCAGCTTTTAACATTCAGGATGTTTTGAGCACACAACAGGAAAGGGGGGACCGTCAGGACCTTTAGGATGAATCTGTCTAGCCTAAGCCTGAATTCCCCTCAGGTTTTCAGTACTCTCATCATAGTTCACATTTAAGTGGTCTGACAATAGACACAATTATACAGTATTTGCACTTTCAGTGTTTGTTATTTTCAATACAATATCTGTAACAGTTACATAAAAGTATGTTTCAGATACTGTAAATCCAAAACATTTGTAACATCTAGTACAATCTACTTCTTCTGGAGTTGGACAAAGCAAAACAGTGCTTTAGTGCTGCTGGAACTGCAGGCCAGGTGTAATAATGACATTCAGCACCACATCACCTCAAGCTAATTAAGAATCAGGCAGGAAATGTTTCAAGCTGAAATCCGTTTGTTGTTACAGCAGCTTGGAAACACCTTTAATTAGGGTTGATGGAGTGAAAGACTTGCAGGCAAGATAGGTTAATAGACTTTCCTCAATGGCAGTTCTGGTGAATATTGTGAATACCTGACATTTGGTAGAATAAAATAGAAAGGAATTTGAAAACAAAAACTTGCATTTGAGCATTCCCAGAATCAGAGGAACTGCCAGATGTCATCTCTTATTAAACAATCCAGCCACTTGGTTGAGCTAAAACCCAATTAAACTTAATTATATGTTACACTTTTGACTAGAGAAGAGGAATGTTCAATGTTGGTGACAGCTTTTGCTCTTTGACCTATGTGAGGAACCATGCAATGTTTCGAAGTAGGTAAGAGAATATGCCCCCCGGAGACTTGTTTTATCACTACATTTAACCACAGGCTATAGGAATAGTTATTGGGACGCCTTTCAGTTTTCAAATGCTCTTGCAATCAGATGTAACATAAAAAGCCGAGGTAGCTCAAAAAAGAACGGCTCTACTGATAATGCCAAAACCCAAAGCCACAACAGATTACTAGGGTCTATAAAAGCCTCTTGCTAACATTATAATTTCCAACATTATACAAGCGCCAAATACTACTTAAAAACCAGCTTCATTATACAGCTACTGACAGGCATCATTGAGGCTCCAAATAAGTAGTTAGCCTTAATCTAAGTAGCTGCAAAGGGCAATTATTAGCTTTCTTTATCCAGTGTGAAATTCTTATGACTATAAGAAAGCAAAATCTTCATTTGAATAGATCAACAAAAAAAATACTAAGTTATTGTTCTTTTATGTGTGTAACATCACAGAATTGTCCCAAAGGCTCATATTTTGTATTTAAACAAAGATGTTCCTTCTTAAGGGAGGAACAATGATCTTCCTAAAAAAATATTAAAGACATTTTCAACAAGTGCGGTGATACTGCAGTTGCAAGCTCAGTTTTGAAAAGGTTCTGTTAATAAGGCACGGTATTATTAAGCATGTGAATAACACCACTGGCCACAGAGAGGCAGAGCAGAAAAGACTCGCTCTCAATCTGAGCAGTGCGGCCTGATGCCTGAATGGGCAGAGAGATTAATGCAGCTGTTACATTACAATCTGCTCATCTCTAGCCCTTGGCAAAGTTTCAGTAAATGAAATTAGATGAAGCCATTCTTTCATTTTTTTTACTGCCTTTTCTATGCCTCTTGACATCTTTAGGCACTTTTCTGACATGTTGTCCACCTGCTTTGACCTGCACGCAGTTAAATAAAAGCTTGTATCGTTGACAGAGCAACAGCACAAGACAGGTTTTGCTGAAAGACAGTCATGCAACGAGATCATCCGTATTAATCGTTCGGTATCAGAAGGATTTTGTAAGAGATGTACAAAACTCACAGAACGTGTTTAGAGTTTACAGTCACGCAAACTGTGGCTTTATCTGGCTGCAGCAGAGTGCTGGATTTTGAAAGTGTCAGAGCACACCAGGGTAAGACTCTTATGACATGAGATACTGATACCAATATCAGGCCTGACATTTTTAAAAGGCTGGATTCCCTATATAAACGTAATGTGCTGCTATTGCATTATACAATAACTCAAGCACCATATGTTAAAATAGAATTTCTGTGAGAATACAAAGGCAAAAAAAATAAAAACACATCATGCAGCCTAGTGCCTTTACAATCTCCCTTGCAGTCAACATTTATTTGCTTAGTTAAATAAATTTAAAGTTTATTTGGTTCATCCCTCACACAATCCACTGAAAATGTAGCCACTATGACTCATTTGTAGTAAACCACAAGGACACAGAAAAGGGCTTATTCGCCATGGCATTAGGTGCCCTTCCCAACAGGGCGAACAATAATGGCAGAGCCCCTGCTAAGCTGAGGCTTTTTAATAAGAAGTATGTTCTCTGGAATAGCCCATTGCTTGCCCAAAGGACAGGCAAATTCTACAATGGTTATAACGGAAATTCAGGGGTTGAAGACAACACCGAAGACGGAGAAGCCACCAGCTCTCACAGGCCTGTGATTCACTATCTAAAAACTTCACTTTCCTGAACTTATTAAATCCTGAACTTATTAAAAAGCATGGTATTAAACATACTGTATAAGGGTAAAAAAAGCACCTTTAATTATTTGGCTTTACAGTATTCTTGAGTTCACAGACTTTACTGTAAACCCAACAAAACAGACAAATTTCTACACTGCTATTGCGGTCTTTCTTAAAAATGACTATGACCGTTTTTTTATATTTTTGCACTCACAACAAGGCACTGCAATATTTCTCTCGGAATCACTCCACATTAAAATGAGAAGGAACATATATTGGAACTGGCATTTGTTTAGCTATTTCAAATTAAACGTATTGTCTTAGGGAACTGGCATGCACATCAGTAGGAAGTCACCAATAGGGGTTGCTACTTGCTTACAGAAATTTATTTCTACAGAAAGATGGTGAGCTGTTAGCTAATTGATGCTTCCTTTTCTGTATTAATGAGACAGGTATAAGACAAAAATAGCTACAAAATAGGAGAGCAGCACTATGATCCACTTTTTTGTCCTGGAGCGGAAATAGTTGTTCTTAACTGCAACAGAATGACTCTTAACTGGTTCACATTATGACTTTCAACAGAGTAAAACTTCATGACCCAAATTCTGCATTCTCTGTGGTATTCAGACATCATTAACAGATAGCTGTTTGTTCACTTTAATATTATCTGATTTGAGCATTAGGAAAGAAAGAAGAAAAGACAGTTTATATAACATCTATAAATCATGTGATAAAATATTTGTAATTATCCAGTGAAGGTTTAATTTCTTTAAAATTGATTTGGATGGACAATGAAACAAAGCAAACAAAATTACTATTTCAAGCAACTGGTTTAAAATTTTAGACCATCATAACTAGAAAGTGAGATAATCTCTTTGTTTAATGTCTTATGTCGCCTTCACTGAGGACAAATAACATACACTACAGAACTGGTATTCCTTTGTGTCTTGTCAATGTGTATTCTCAGTAACATAAATGTTTAACTTCAATAACTGCAGCATACAAATTCAAAACGCAGTGGACCGCACTGTTTCCTCTAATACATGCAAACAGAGGTTGGTCACAGCAGAAATTGCAGCAGAAACTTACCTGCTAAACTGGTAAGTTAAAAGTGGAAACCAGGTTATTTGCATCCAGCAGTAGGCTGACTGAGCAACTTTCAGTCTCATGTGGTTAAGAACCAAAGCCACATTGAACACATTCAGGGGTAGGAAAGGATTAATATGAAAGATAATTAACCCAGACCAACTATCATATGCTATTTATTTTAATAATTGTTGCTTCTGTTTTGGCACGGTGAATTTGTTAAATGAAGACAGCTTTTCAGAAACCCTAATATAGAGAAAAACCTTTAGAATTCCATTTTCATAATCAAAAACAAAAATAGTAGCAATCACAGAAGAGCTCCAGGGAGAGAAACAAAATATGAGAACAAAACTGTAAAAATGAAAAAGTCCTGAAGCTTTTTACACAGGAAAAACAGAGAGATAATCCTAGAAACAAACTACAAACTTAAGCAGGGTGGAGGCGCATTGCAAGCATAATGATGCCACACCTAGGCCAGTAAAAGGCCTGTGATGTTTGTAGTGA